TCAAAGGACATTCCTGAGCAGGACTGTTACTTAGAGCTAAGCAGAGGACCTGGTGACAGTCCCACAGCCACACCCTGTGGCATGAGAAGCCCGGAGCTTGACATAGTGAACTCTCAGGCCACCACCCTCTCTATCCAGGGCCAGCTACAGTAGCCTGGGCCCTTATTCAAACATGGTCATGGATCTTAGGATGGTGTCAGCAGAGGTCCTAAGCRGGAGGACCCCAGGGGACTCCTCGTGCTGGGGCAAGAAGGGACTCACCAGCTTCTGGCCCAGGCTCCCAGGGGGCAGTAGGAGAAGCTGGAGGAGGTGAACCGCTGGCTGTCCCTAGGGTCYGGCCCACGGTGGTGGAAAGTGGCCTGGTTGCCACCTCCCTGGGTGCTGAACTGTTGCTGTCCACAGCAGGGGCCGTGGGAGAGCCGAGGCCAAGGGGCATGCCTGAGGCAGAAGGAAGCCATTACCACCACTCCTGCCTGCTGAGCCTCCTGACGTCCCCACCCAAGCCTCCTGTCCCTGAGTCCCAGACCCAGGGAGAGAAGGTGTGGGTAGGAGTAAGGGAACAGAGAGGGCAGGAAGTGGAGATAGCCTGGTGGTGATGGGAAGAGGGAAGCTGCTTCTGGGGGGGGGGAGGCAGGGCGGGGAGGGCCGCCCAGGCTGAGGCTCAGCCTCCGCACTCCTGGCATTTGGGGATGATCATTCTCTCTGGGTTTGGGTTGAAGCGTCTGTTGCACTACAGGATGTTAAGCAGTGTCCAGCCTCTGTCCACCTCCAGTTGTGACTACCAGAACTGTCTCCAGACTGCCCAGAGCCCCYGACGGGAGCAAAGCAGCCCCCAATTGAAAACCTGGCTGTGGAGTGGGCTGGAGGATTAGGGGGAAATGGGAGGTTGGACAGAGTGACTGAATGCAGAGGGACAACTGCACCCCACTTCCTGCCCAGTGCCTGCCCTCCCCGGGCCCCCTCGAGCCCTCACCGTCACACACGGCCCCGGCGTCCTCCCGGTGGTGACAGTCATGCTGGCCCCAGGGCCTGGCGGGGCAGAACCTCAAGGCTGTCTCATTTCCCCGACAGCGCAGGTCGTCCAGGGTGATGGGGCCAGTCCCCTCGCCAAAGAAAGCGCCCCCGGGGGCGGCCAGCGCCCCCCCACAGCCCAGCTCCCTGCAGGCCACGGCAGCATCCCGGAGGTCCCAGGCGTCATCACACACTGACCCCCAGCGCCCACCATGCCAGACCTCCAGGCGGCCAGCACAGCCATGGGGGCCATCGGCCAGGCGCAGCCGGGGGGCGGGTCCTGGAGAGCAGGAAAGGAGGTCAAGGAGACAGGAAGCTAGGGTGGACGAGGGACCGCCAAGTTCTGATGGGAAACTCGGGGGCAAGGGAGGGCAGGAGGGAGGGCAGGGGGGAGGGCAGGAGGGAGGGCAGGAGGGCAGTCCTGCACAGCTCCTTGGTGTCCGCCTTCTCCGGGTTCCGTCACAGGTCCCAGAGGGGAGTGACCTCCAGGAGACAGCTGGACACTATGTTGGGTGGGGGTAGGGTGCTGCCCTGGCCCCTCAGCTGTCCCTCCCATTTCCCCAGGAGAGTGGCTGCAGTGCAGAGGGACAGACCTGGGCCAGGCTCTTGGCAGCTTCCTAGAAGCAGGGAGAGGGAGCTGGGCTCTGAGGAAGGGGGGGACAGAGGACAGCCCCAGCCCCAGCGTACCAGTGCAGACCAGACCAGCATCCTCACTGTGGTCACAGTTGCTCCGGCCCCAGGGGCTTCGGGGACAGTCCCGGAGGGCCTGCTCTCCTCCTCCACACCCCACATCGTCCATCCATACGGGCCCCGCACCAGGCCCAAATCTGGAGCCCCCGGGGGCGGCCAGCGCCCCCCCGCAGCCCAGCTCCCGGCAGGCCACAGCAGCATCCCGAAGGTCCCATCCATCGTCACATACGGTGCCCCAGCGCCCRCCATGCCAGACCTCCAGGCGGCCGGCACAGCCGTGGGGGCCTGAAACCAGGCGCAGCCGCTCTGGGTAAGGACAGACCAAGAGGGAGAGGGACAGTGAGGGGCCCCTCTGACTGCAGCCTGGGAGGAGCAGATCCAAGCCCCCTCCTCGGTCAGCCTGGGGGCACTGCAGCCCAGAAAGGCGTGGCCAGAGCGGGTGTCTCCGACAGGGGAGGGCGGGAGGAAAGGGGAGGCCAGGCCTGTGCAGGTGCAGTGAACACGGGGGTCGGTGGAGGCCAGGGGCAGGGCTGGAGGGTCCCCAGTCTAGCCAGGTCTCAGAGCATCCGGATGTTGGGGGTCTGGAGGGGCTTACCCTGGCGTGGGGCTCCAGTCAGCAAAGGTGCCCGGGTGGACTTGGCTGGCTTGGGTGGCCGGAGGCTCTTCTTCCGGGGGCTATTCTGGGGGATCCCAGCTGGGTGAGGGACTAGGAGAGGACACAGGACGACAGGTGTTGAGCTGTCCATCCTTCCTGTCCCCAGGGGGCCAGGACTCCCTTCCCGAGGASCTAAAGTGACAAAGTGCTCCTGGGTTGTGCCAGGAGACCTTGTACTGGCTGAAATGGGAGCAGGGGCACGGGATGGGCACGCACAGCCTCAGCCTGGGGCTCACCCTGGGTCACGGGAGGCTCCTCAGAGCCGGGGCTCAGCCCCCCAGACAGCCCCGGCCACAGACCTCCATCTGGGGGGGAAGCAGAGTCGTCCCTGGAGGTCGCCACTCGCTGGCCTATGGGAGAGGACAGAGCTGTGAAGGGGTGGGGGAGCAGGGGCCACTTGCCCCATGGGACAGGACCACATGCCTTGGTGTCCTGGGGCTCAGAAGTAAGTGATCGTCAGCTGGGGGTCCCAGAAGGAAGGAGACACGTGGCGCTAGGGAGGCCAGGGGTCAGGTTCTACAGGACTGCCCGTCAGCTCAGACAGACGGGGGTGCAGGACTCGGGGCCCTGGGCCATCTCAAAAGAGCTGCCCCATAAGGGAAGAGGAAGAGCGGTTCCCTCACCTGCACAGACGACGCCGGCGTCCTCCTCGTGAGAACAGATGTGGGCCTTCCAGCCCCGGTGGGGGCAGAGGCCCAGCTGCCCCTCATTGCCCCGGCAGGCCAGCTCGCTGAGCCACACAGGCCCTGCGCCCTCCCCGAAGAAGGCGCCCCCGGGGGCAGCCAGCGCCCCCCCGCAGCCCAGCTCCCGGCAGGCCACAGCAGCATCCCGAAGGTCCCATCCATCGTCACACACGGTGCCCCAGCGCCCTCCATGCCAGACCTCCAGGCGGCCGGCACAGCCGTGGGGACCSTCAGCCAGGCGCAGCCGCTCTGGGGGGCAGAGGGAAGGCTGTGACTCCTACCAAGGAGGCCACAAGGCAGGACCAGAGTGAGGCAGGCCCGGGGACTACCCCACAGGGCCCGTCAGGAGACCAGCTGCTGCCCGGGACCCTCCACGGGGACTCCAGGGTACTCAGACAAAGGCACCTGAGGTGCTGGTCCCTGGGCYCGGTCAGTCAGAGTGCAGTGGGGGTGGCCAGGGACCCAGGAGGAGGGCGAGGCAGATGGGGAGGCTTCTCGATGGGCGAGGCCAGAGGCCAGACGGGAGGAGAGTTGGGAACTTACCAACAGCCTGGATCCCCACCAGTGCTGCTGCAGGGGGGTGGACAGAACAGTGAGGGACAGGCCRGGCCCTTCCCCAGCCTACACACACCCAGACACACCCGGGCTTCTCACACCTCCGAACCAGACACCCTGCTGCTGGGAAGTGCACCGGGCAGAGGCTGGGACAAGACAAGAGGTCCCTGTGGCCGGTGGAGCCCCAGATGCCTGGCTCCTGAAGTCAGGGCTGGGACCAGGTCGAATGGCGGGTGATCCCCCACCAGGTCAGGGCCAGGGCATGGGGGTGGGGGGCAGGTTCCTTGGGTTGCTGAGGGTGGGACAGGACATGCAGAGGGCTGGCTCCCTGGGGGGCTAGGCAGCCAGATGCCAGGGTAACCCAAAGCCCAGGACTGGGCGCTGGCCTTCTCCGTCCCTCATCTGGATGCGCTCAGGGGTCAGAGGTGGGCCAGGCCCTGTGAGTCCCCCGGGAGAAGAGGTCACTCACCAAGGAGACAGGCCAAGACCTTCATGTTTGCAGAGTCCGGGGCAGGGGACGGGGCGAAGGGGAAGAGGGCAGGAGGAGAGGAGGGGAGGAGGGGAGGTAGGGACGCACAGAGGCTCCCTGGACCCGCAGAGGAGCGGGCGGGCTGCAGGCTTTGCCAGGAGCAGAGAGGCTGCAGGGAGGCGGCAGGGGACAGGAGGGGGAGGGGGCTGGCCCAGCTGAGGCGTGGGGAGAAGGGGGAGGCGGGCGGGAGGGGGAGAGCGTCCAACTGCAAACACCCACATGGAGGAGACCAGGCAGGCTCGCCAGCTCACCCTGTGCTGAGATGCTTAGGGGACGGCAGGCTCAGGGAAGGGACTGGACTCCAGTGTCTGGAAGACTGCAAGGGAGGGGGCACACCCTCCTGTCTCCTCTCTTGTCCAGCCATGGAAGTGTGGCTGTGAGTGGGCAGTTCTAGGGCACTCCTGCAGCAGCAAGAGGGCTTGCAGCCAGACACCAGAAGGGACTTTCTGGATTAGGAAAAGAAACTGAGAAAACCCTCTTTTCATTTGACAGCCCCACTGGTGGACCTGAATGTAAAGCCCTCAAGCCCCATCTGAGGAGAGGCTGAACTTCAGAGCCCCCAGAAAGAAGAGGTGGGGGTTGGGCAGACAGGGCCAAGGCTTGGGGGAGGGGGAGGGAGCTACACACACACACACACACACACACATACAAACACACACTCTCTCTCTCTCTCCCTCCCCACACACCAGGCAGCAGCGAGGGGAAAAAGTTGGTAATGGGGAGGTGACTCAGAAGCCTGGCAGGGCGGCTGCGTGAGCTCACTGCCCCCTTCCCCAGCCCAGCACCCCCCACTCCACCAACACACAGAGCAACTGGCGAGAGGAGGAGCCAGCCAGGCAGAAGGGCCAGGGGTTCCAGAGGCAGGCTRGAAAAGGCATCAGGACGAGGCCGCACACAGCAGTCTCAGGCTTTATTGACACACTGTAAGGACCAGAYGCACAGGAGCTGTGCCCACCAGCCCCGCCCACTCCCAGGGAGGCCTTGTCCCAGGCACCCTGCCTCAAGTCCTAGCTCAGGGAGAGCTGGCGGCCGCTCCGTCCCTCCCCAGAGCTTCCCCAGGGCCAGCAGCACAGACAGCACAGCTCTGCAGACAAAGCAGGGAGATTCTCAGTGCAGACAGAATCTGAGGCAGGGGCTTGACCTCTGATGGCCCTCGTAGCCAAAGGGGAGAGGAGTTTGTTCCACACTGGACACTGCAGGCTGGCGGCAGGTGGAGGAGTGGTGTCTAGGTCTGCAGTCCTCGCTGGGGCACAGGTGTGCTGGGGTCACCGGGGCATGTTGTGACAGTGCCCRGGCACAGCAGGAGCGCTGGGTGCTGGCGTCCCCCTGCCCCAGGTCTGCAGTCACAGGTCTTTGCTGAACTCCCTCACCAGTGTGTAGCCCATGCAGCCCCAGCCCCCCTCGGCCTGGTAGCCACAGCCCTCCAGCAGCCCCGCCACCCCCCAGGCAGCCACGGCCACGGGGACCACAAGCCGGGCCCGGGGCTCCCCCATGCCCCCTGCCCAGGCTCGGGCCCGAGACTCCGCAAAGGCTAGGAGCCTCCTACCCACTCCCCTGCGGCGGTGCCAGCGTGAGACAGAGAGGCGGGTGACGCGGGCTCCATCCCCCGCACTGGTGCCAGGGGCCAGGGCCAGGACTCCACACACATCGCCAGAGCCCCTCACGGCCACCCAGGGCCCCCCCAGGCCTCCGGGAGGAGGCAAGGAGCCCCACCAGGCTCGCAGGCCTAGCTTCACTGCGGCCACAGCCAGGAACACAGGCAGCAGGAGGGCCAGGGCGAAGGAGGCCAGGACGAAGCGCAGGCCGCTGCTGGCTGCCGCCAGGAGAAGAAGGGCCGGGGGCCGTGTCAAAGCATGGAGGGCCACACGGTTCTCCGTGTCCTTTACGCCAGCCTGTGGGTAGGGGTGGGGCTCAGCCATCCAGAACGTGAGCGCCCCCCGGGACCAGGAAAGGACGTGGACCTGTCCAGGGCCAGCGTGGGGGCTCCCTGGTGAGGAGGCAGGCAGCTGACGGGGTGGGCACAGTGGGTGTGAGTGAAGGGTGAGGGATGGGTGGATGGGGAAGGGTGATATGGAGCTGTGGGCACCATCCAGCGGAGGTCCCAGAGCCAGGCTTCAGGGAAGCACTCTTGAAGGACAAGGAGGSCCGACAGGACAGAATGGGGAAACCGAGGCTACCGGCTCTGCTCAGGAGAGTCTGGGGTGGGAGGCAGGCAGGGAAGACTAGGAGTTGGTGCTGGGGTGCTGGACGCAGCACCGTGCCCCCTGGGACCCCCATCTGCTAAAAGCCGGGCAGCTGAGGCCAGATGGGGAGAAGGCACTGGAGGAAAGGGCACAAGCCGCTGAGGAGGAAAAGCCYCCCGGCGGTGGCGTGGGTGGACAAGCCCGCCCCTGCCCAGCTCAGGCGTGGCGTGGGTGGACAAGGCCGCCCCTGCCCGCCTCACCTCTCTCACCTTGAGCATCTCCAGCACCAGGGCTTTCTCATCCTCCCTCATCTCCCGCACTGACAGGTGGCTGGGGGCCATGGCAGCCCCCAGGCCACCGCCCCCAAAAGGGAGCTGGCGTAGTTTGTGCACCTGCTGGAAACACAAGTAGGTCAGTATCAGGTGGGCGCCTCTGTCCCCAAAGCCTCCCGCGGGGCGAGCAGCAGCAGCAATTTCCAAATCGGGTACCGAGGACCCTCGGGGTCCCTGAGCGAAGGCCGTGTCAGGATAGGTCCACCCTACCCAGTGACCTTCCTAAAGTCTCCCTGATCCCCCTCCCCATGGTCAGCGATCCGCCCCTAAACAGGCTGTGGACGCGAACACCTTGCAGCACGGTCCCTCCCAGGCGCCGGGACTGCCCCGGGGGTCCACGAATACCCCGGGACCCACTAGAGGAGGGGCCGCGCTCCCCTCGCCCCGCCCCCGCGCCCCTCGCCCCGCCAGCGAGGATCGGCGAGCACCTCCTTGGGCGCTCGGATCCCTAGACAAGGTGCTGGGGGAGCAGGGTCAGGAGGGGGTCGCCGGCGGAAGTGACGTCCACACTCGCGCTCGGCTGGGCGGGGCGGCGCCGGCTCCTGGCCTTAGCAACTGTTGCCAAGCGTCTCCGGGGTTGAAGGGGAGGCGGCGGGAACCGAGTGCGCTAGGGTGGGACCGGGGCAGGGAGCCGGACCGCTGGAGGTGGGTGGAGGCGACCTATCCTAGCCTGGAGAAGGAACAAGGGGGAAAGGGGACCTGGGGGCGAACGGGAGCAGAGGCCGGCGGGGAGGTGGTGGGAGTAGAGACGAGCGTCTGGGAGGAGCACTTACTGACCCCGAGCGTTCGCARTTTCCTTCACGACGGTCCCTCGTTGCTAAGCGACCTAAGCGCGGGAGGAGACGGCGACCGAAACCCCGACGCCAGTGCATTGATTCCCATTGGTGCTGGGACCTTTGCGGGTGGGGTCCGGAGCCCCCACCTCAATCCCTGGGGGCGCCCTGACAGTGCCCTTCGGGATAAAAGATCTACCCCCCACCCATTTTTCAGATGAGGAGAGGGGGCGAGTGACATCCAGCAAACAAGAGGCAGAACAGGTATTCTGACTCTAATGCCTCCCTGCAGGAGACCAACCATGGCATCACCACCAGCTCCCTTTTAATGAATAGGGAAAGAGCTCCATAAAGAACAGTGGCTGGTCCAAAGACGCAGAGCTCTTGAGAGCCAGGAAGCAGAAGTAAAGACTCCAAGACCAGGCTGGGCGCAGTGGCAAAAGCCTGTAATCCCAGCAGCTCGGGAGGCTGAGGCAGGAGGACTGACAGTTCAAAGCCAGCCTCAGCAATGGCGAGGCGATAAGCAACTCAATGACTGCAGTGTCTCTAAATAAAATATAAAATARGGCTGGGGATGTGGCTCAGTGGTCGAGTGCCCCTGAGTTCAACCCCCCAGTTCAAAAAAAAAAAAAAATCCAAGACCCCAGATGGAGGCCATAGCCTGACTGCTCCCTGTCTCCTGCCCACCCCCCAAAGGGGAAAAAAAAACCAGAGAGGAGATTCTGGGTCTTTATTAGCACGCCCAGCCTACAGCCCCCTTCTCCTGGGGCTAACCCCAGCTCAGCCAAGGACAATGAGTTAGGAGTCTCTGTGTGGGGTGGACAGAGGCGCCAGTCCTCAAAATGTGTGCACCAGCTGGACTGCTGGTAGGGTCTGCACGATTTGGATAGAGGGCAGGCCCTGTGAGGTCATGACCCCAGGCCCAGCCCCTGCGGGGACCACTTGCACCATCTGGGAGGTGGAAACAGCAGGCATCCCTGCGGGGGTAGAGACTGGGCCAGGTGGTGGTGGGGCCAGAAGTTGTAGTGTGGCAGCGCCTCCCCCAACACTGCTGTTCTCCAGCAGTTCAGCCGCTGGGGCACTGCGGATGATAAGGAGTTTCTGCCCCGGAGGGCCAGGGGCAGGTGGCTCTGTCAKTCCGGGGGGAAGGGTCTCTACCTCCTGCACACAGAGCCGGGTCTGCTCCCCATCTGCTCCGCTCAGCACCAACACGCTCTGCAACCCCTCATCCGTCTGCAGTGTCTCAAAGAGGACATCCTGGACCACACCCGTGCTAGCTTCACTATCCCCTGCCTCCCCAGGACCTGGCCCGGTTAGCAATTCCTCAGCTGCCCCACTCTGAACCACCAGCAGATTGGGGGCCTCAGCAGTCACAGCTCCTCCACTGGAATTAGAAAGCTGGCCTGCCAGGGGTTGGAGCTGGACCGTGGTCACTTCCTGTGCGGGCTGGAGCTGGACCGTGGTCACTTCCTGTGCAGGCTGGAGCTGGACCGTGGTCACTTCCTGTGCAGGCTGGAGCTGGACCCCACTCACTTCCTGGGGTCCTGCTTCCCCACCCCCTACATTCTGCAGAACAATGAGGCTCTGCCCTCCCCCACTGGCCCCTGCTCCACTCCCTCCCTGCACCCCTAGACTCCCAGGGCCTGGCAGCCAGACTACCCCTGTCCCAGGGCCGGCTTTCCCTGCTGTGCGAGGGCACTGCTTTGCMCGGCTGCCCCCACTCCCAGCACTGGAGGGCAGCAGGATGAGCTTAGGTGCAGGTGGGGGCGGAGGAGTAGGGGGCTGGACGCTGCTAGGGATCAGCTGGAGACCCTGGGCAGTCTGCACCAGGAGAAACGTCTGGGAATTGGGAGCCCCTGGGCCCGGGGGCGGGACCTGGGCTGTGCCCCCAGCCACTTCGAGGGAAAGCGTGGCTTGGAGGTGAGGGAGAACATGGACATCTTGAGTGGCTAGTGAGGCCGGAGCTGCAGCCAGTGGGGCCTGGGGCTGAGAGCTTGCGGCAGCCGTGGCTGTAGTGCCCGAAGCCGTGTTGGCTGGGGCATGCGTCCTCAGATGTCGCTGCAGATAGGCGGCCATGACAAAGCCGCGACCGCAAATGGGGCAGGCAAAGGGGCGCTCGGCTGAGTGGGTGCGCTGGTGCAGCAGCAGGTTAGAAGAGTGGGTGAAGGTCTTGGGGCAGAGCGGGCAGCGGAAGGGCCGCTCGCCCGTGTGCACGCGCTGGTGCTGCCGCAGGTTGGAGGTCTGGGCGAAGCTCTTGCCGCACACGCTGCAGGTGTGGGGCCGCTCGCCAGTGTGCACATGTCGGTGGCGCCGCAGGCACGACGTGTTGCGGAAGGCCTTTCCACACTCGCTGCAGGCGTAGGGCCGCTCGCCGGAGTGTAGCCGCAGGTGGTACTGGTAGTGAGATGACCACTTGAAGGTGAGGCCGCACTGGCCACAGGTGAAGGCCCGCAGGCCTGTGTGTACACGCTGGTGGATGGCCAGCAGCGAGGAGCGCTTGAAGGCCTTGCCACACTCACCGCACTGGTAGGGCCGCTCACCGGTGTGGTCCCGAAGGTGGTACCGCAGCCCTGAGGAGCCCTTGAAGGCCTTGCCGCACTCTGCACATTTATATGGCCGCTCTACAGAAGCCACAGCAGGYGGGGGAGGCGGCGGGGCAGGAGCAGCAGAGGCCATAGGCTCCTGGGGACAGGTGACCTCGGCAACCTCGGCCTGGGGGGGTGGGCGCCCAGCTGCAGCCTCTTCCACGTGGCATTGCTGGTGCGCCAAGAGGCTGGCCAGCTGCGGGAAAGCCCCGTCACAGCTGCCGCAGCGGAAGGCCTGTCCCCCAGCTGCACCATGGCTGTGCTGGTGTCGGGAGAGGCCTGCCACGGTGCGGAAGGATTTTCCACAGGGAAGGCAGGCAAAGCCAGGAGCAGTGACAGGAGGGGGCTGCGGCAGAGGGGACGTCGGGGACAACGACGCAGGGGGCGCATCGTTGGGCGTCTCGGCAGGGGCATCCTGGGGCTGGGCAGGAGGCCCCGGGCACGGCTGGTGCTCCAGGAGCAGCTCCTCGCTGCCAAAGCCTTGCTCACAGCCATCGCAGCGGTACACCAGCTCCACCGTGGTCTCAGCTGCCGCCAGAAACAGCTCGGGCACCACTGGCGGAGGCTGGGGCGGCGGGGCGGGGGGCGCGGGCGGGCTGCTGGACGGCAGGTGGCGCTGCAGGTAAGCGTCTGAGACCAAAACCTTGCTGCCCGCGCAGGGTTCACCAGGCGTGGGGGGCGGAGGGACGGGGGTGGTGCCGGGGGCCGCGCTCGGGGCGGGGGCGGGGGCGGGTCCGTGGGTGCGCTGGTGCAGCAGCAGGTTGGAGGAGTGGGTGAAGGTCTTGGGGCAGAGCGGGCAGCGGAAGGGCCGCTCGCCTGTGTGCACGCGCTGGTGCTGCCGCAGGTTTGTGCTCTGCGTGAAGCTCTTGCCACACACGCCGCAGGTGTAAGGGCGCTCGCCAGTGTGCACGTGCCGGTGGCGCCGCAGGCTGGATGAGTTCTTGAAGGCCTTGGGGCAGTCGAGGCACAGGTAGGGGCGCTCACCAGTGTGCTGCCGCAGGTGGTACTGGTAGTGGGACGACCATTTGAAGGCCAGGCCGCACTGGCCACAGGTGAAGGCCCGCAGGCCTGTGTGTACACGCTGGTGGATGGCCAGCAGCGAGGAGCGCTTGAAGGCCTTGGGGCAGTCGGGGCACTGGTAGGGCCGCTCGCCAGTGTGGCCCCGCTGGTGGTAAAGCAGGGCTGAGGAGCCCTTGAAGGCCTTGGGGCAATCTGGGCACTTGTAGGGCCGCTCGCCTGTGTGCGTGCGCTGATGGTGCAGGAGCCGAGACGACCACCGGAATGACTTGCCACACTCCCCGCACTCATACTGGGCCGCAGGGGCGGGGGCCGCCGGGCCGGGCTTCTCCCCGGCCCCGTCCGCGGTAGAGGCAGGCGCCATGTCCGCGTGGGAGCCAACCATCACACCTGGTGGAGGGATTCCGGATCAGAGTGGGTAGGCACTGAACTTTTAAGGGACAGGGGTTGCAGAGAGCCCTTATCAGGATTAGGGTTTACAATGGCCCACGTTTTACCTGAGACTGAGAGAGGAGTAAGGGGGTCCCTGGGATGTGAGACTTCCGGTGCTAAAACTTCCCAGCAAACAAATCAGCCACCTCCCAGCATGCTGGCCATGTCCTCCAGGAGGCCAGGGAGGTCCGAGAAGGCTGAGCACTGCCTTCGGGCCCACTCTGGTACCCTCCAAAGTTGGAAGCCTGGCTTCCCGTGTCCACTCCACCTCAACACTGGCTCTTCCTGTCACACCCTGAACCATTCACTCTCCAGGCCCTCAGAGAGCCGAGCCGAGCATCMCACTCCACCACCTCGCCTTCTAGTCCCTTTCCTTCGCCAGCCAGATCTAGTTCTCTGGATCCTGCAGGCTCTTCGTGCTCCAGTGCTCCATCCATCCACTCCCGCAGTTCTGCCCTCGCCCAAGGGAAGTGCTGCTGAGGACCCTGCAGTCCCTTGCATAGCGAAAGCGTAGGGGCTGTCTGTGCACTCCTGCCAGCCTCCCTCTCCAACTCACACACATTACTCTGCTTCACGCACTACCCTGGGTGACTGCCTGGCATGCTTCTTTTCTCCTGAAGCCTCCAGCACCTCCTTTTCCCTCCTTTCCCTTGCCATCAATCATACTAGCCACCAAGAGACTGTCTCCACGTTCCAATCACCACACCAGAGGCTCTCAACTGGRGCAGATGTCCTCCCACCACCAGACATCTAAAGATGCCTGGAGACACTGCT